CCAGACTAAAGATTCTTTTTTTTTTTTTAAAAAAAAAACTTCTTATTTTAACTAAATTCATGTTAACGCCTATGAGCAAAAGTGATCTAAAGACTACAAAATGGTGCTCTTTAAATTCACTATTAGGGGTAGTAAAAAGGTTTTGAAAACTATATATAAAAAAAGTTCCTTTCAATAACAAAAAAAACCTGAAGCAAAAAAAGTTATAACATCTAAAGCTCTTGTTCGACTATAATACTCTGTTAAATCATGCTAATTTCAAATAAAAGAATTCAAATGGTTGTAAATCGCCTTAATTACACCGAGTATAAAACTTTATTTTGTTACCAAAACAAAAAAAGGGGTGGTAAATTTTCGTAACACTCGCGCCGGCCATTTATATATATATATATACATACATACATACTTACATACATACATACATACATATTTTTTTATTTATTTTCCGTTTTTGTTACAATTAAATTGCGTAATATAATACCAGATACTCTTATTCTTTCAAAAATAAACCAGTTATAAATATAAAAAATCAAAGACAAAATAATAAGAGTTAGTTATACAAAAATAAATAAAAGCGCAGGAAACTTGCAGAAGACCATTAAGTCTTATCATCAAGAACCGTTGTAATTATGTTTTTACAATATTAAATTCCTATAATAGTGTTAAAATTAAAACTTAATTAACTAAGGTAAATAGTGTTACAACCAAAAACTTTTCAATGTAAAAACTTTTCAAAAACAAAAAAACAAACAAACAAAAAAACAAAGCAGTTTAAAAGAAATCATTTTACGATACGTAATTTTAAATTGTTCTTGATTAGTTTTGCACAATTGTTTAATTAAGCCTGTTGTGCGTAAAGTATATTTAATGCTAGGTTTTATTTCATAAAGATCATTAAAAATTGAGAGCATTGTTGAAATTTACTTTTGTACATGAGACATAAAATTTTATAAACGTTTATCTCGTATAACGTAAAAATATTCATAATTTCGAACAGTGGTGTTGCATGTTCGTTTTTATTTTTAAAATTCATTATTCTTATGGCATGTTTTTTTTTTATTCACATACATACATACATACATATATACAATTGTTTTAGCAATAGGGTAAATAAAAAAAAGCAACTGCTTTTACTCAGTAATTAGTTAGCTTTACATAAATAAAAACCTAAGCAATTTTGTTCAAATTTTTATATACGTAAAGCTGACCAATTACTCAGCGTTTTTGCTTAACTTTACGTGAATAAAATTTGAGCAATTTTGCTCAAATTTTTATTCACTTAAAGCTGAATAACATATAAAATGAGCATTACATACTTTAGTATATGTTGCTTATTTTATCAACAAAAACTTTAGGAATTGATTTAAAATATTGTCCTTTTGGAAATTATTGTAAATATTTTGAAATTTTATTGTTTTCGTCGAATTCCATTATTCTTAGTTTGAAAAAATCGAATTCCATTATTCTTATTATTATATATATTAATATTATTATAACATCGAATTCCATGTTTATTAGTTTGAAAAAAAAAAATTGTCTTTTTTTTATATTTAGAACTATGTCAGTATTTTTTAAACGACTATTGTTAAAAGTATATTAATACTATTTCCTTTCTTTCTTTAAATATAAATATTTATGAAAGTTTTTTTTTTTTTTATCTTTTTATTAAATTGGAATTGTAAAATTGTATTTTTAACAATCTTATTCTATTTTAAACTTGTAAAGCCCACATAGGGGCTCTATGAAAAGGTTGTGAGCCCCTGTCTGTTTTTATAAATCAACTTTTTTTGTATGTAAATGTTTCTTTGTAATTATATTTTCTTATTACATCTACAGTATCGGACAAAACAAGTACAACTCCACAAAATGTTGACCAAGCTGTATTTCGCTATCAATATTTCATGGCAAATCCTTTGTTGTCGATCATAGCCTTGCATCTTCGAGGCAAATATTCAATCAGGTGATAAATGAAACTTTGCGGAATTGCTGCCCAGGCCTATTGGATTTGTTCAAACAGTTGATCCTTATTACGAACAACTTCACAATTAATTCTGCGGTTGACGATCTTCCACAGGTTCTCGATAGGGTTGAGATCCGGAGGTTGAGGCGGCCAATCCATTACCGATAGCATGAGGTAACATAAAATCTTTCAGGATATTTTTATACATGAAACGGTCCATTATTCCATCGATTCGATGTATTGGACCTAGACCGTTAGCAAAAAAACACCCCTAGACCATTACATTGCCTCCACCATGCTTCACGGTTTTATGGCAGAAACGTAAACTGAGGCGTTTTCCGGCAGGTCGACGTGACGGCAAATGCCATCGCTTCCAATGATGTTGAACTTCGATTCATCACTGAACAGGATAGCTTGCCATTTCTGCACATTCCAGTCAAAATGAGATGGCAAACAGGAGTCTTTTCTTCTGGTTCTTTAGTGAAATCAGCGCTTTCTTTGCAGGGCGTCGAGAAAACAATCCAGTTCCAACAGCAAGTCGTCTGATTGTTCGGTCCGATACAGGCTGCTCTAATTGCTTTTGTATCTCGACTGATGATATCCAGGGATCCTTCTTGACGGATCTGACGATCATAGAATCTTCTCTAGAAGTGGTGGAACGCGGTGTTCCACCTTTGTTATCTGCTGCCAACTTCCCCATAGAACGATATTTGGAACATAGTTTTGATACGGTCCATTTTTTCACGCAATATTTATCACAATTACTTTTTTGTGACATTCTACTTAAGTAATCGCCAATAATTTTCTTTCTTAGTTCTAATACAAGACTGTCGGGAGCAATTTTTTCACTTGAAGTCATAGACTTTGTGTTCCATAGAGCATTATTGACGTTGTGTTCCATAGAGCATACAATAATGCTCTGTGGAACACAACGTCTTGATGTGGACTGTATTGAATGAAACACTTGTTGTACTTCACTTCTTGTATTGATGTTCTTTGATAAAACTCACTTCGATAAACTGTCTTGATAATACTGACTGATTGACTTCCGTATACTGACTGAATTACATGTCGGTTTACATGTCTCTTATATAGTAAAATGAACCTGTGTAAACCTGTTCTGGAAGATTCTAGATGCTTCTTATTGATGCTTCTGAATATTTCTGGATGCCTCTTCTGGAAACTTCTGGAAGCTTCTGCATGCTTCTGGAAACTTCTGGAAACTTTTGGATACTTCCTTTAATTATTAAAAAACTTCCGTGACGTTGTCACGGACCAGACTTAAGAAAATAAAACAAACCAAAAAAGTTGCACTTGTTTTGTCCGCTGCAAAATGGCACTTGTCAACGAAATTCTGCCTGTGTGCTGTCACCTGATTGCTCATGTCATGGCATGCTATGACTCCAGACTCCTGAACCGTTTGCTGTGGTAGTATAGCTCGTTTCGTTTTTAAGACATGTAAAATTTGGAACACTTTTTAGCATTGTTCAATGTTGATTGCAAATATTTTGTCCAATACTGTATGAGAGCATTAATAGTAAATCTCCGTTTATGCAATTCAAAAGTAACCAAAAGCCACTACTTGAAATATGTAAATATATACAAACACTGGCGTAGCGACAGGGGACAAAGGGAGTTAAATTTAACTCAAAATTTATATATATATATATATATATATATATATATATATATATCCGATATATATTTATAAATTATTGATGAATCATTCATCAACATTATTCTTATTAAAATAACAAGGAACTGTTTTGAAAGTATTCTTTCGAAATAATTTTTTTGCAAGTTTTTTTTCGTTAAGGATTTCTACAGAGTTATCATTATTTATTTTATTCGTATAATGCGTTACGGAAGATGAATTTGCTCATGTGCAACTTCCGTTGTGTAAATAAGAAAACATGTGATTAGGAAATTTTAAAAAGTAATTGAGAAACCCAACATGTAAATAAAAAATCGCAATATATAATTAGAAAAACAAGTTGTAATTAAGAAATCATAATATGTAAATGAGAATACATTATTTGTAATTGCGAATTGGTCGTCGTAACAGGCAATGCTCCATGTCACGCTCGTTTGGAATGGGCGTTTAAAAATTCACCATCTCAGTTGTTACGATTAGGACTCTACAGCCCAATTTTAAACCCTATCTCGTCCGAAATAAAAATAAACGTTAAAAATGTTATTTGCATTCCACCTGTATTCGGTGCTGGGATTATGGAAGAACGAATACAGTATTTAGAAAGAATTGTTACTGCGGCAAAAAATACAATAATGGGAGGTGATTGTACACGCGCTGAACAACATACGACCACGCATTACGCAACGATTTTAAATATGGAAGACGTCCAAGTTGGTGCTTAATTGAACATTGCAATGATTTTTAATGACGTCGTTTAAATTTAAATTTTGATGTAAATAAATTATTTGTGTTTTAGTTATCATTTATCTCAATTAAATCTCAATTAAATTTTTCACAAAAAATAAATAAATAAAAGAAAGTTTAAATTGACACCCAATAGGATTTTTCCAGTTACCGCCTCAAATGCCTTTTTCATGATTTTTCATATTTTATTGATATTATACTATTATTTCCAGCCTTAAATTACAAAGTATATACTACAAAATTCAACTTTGTATTTTTTATACTTTATATAATTACAACTATCATGTTCTCGATAACATTTTACGATTTCTTATTTACAACTTTTATTTTCTCAATTACATCTGACGTTTCTTAATTACAACATTCATCATCTCGATTACATTTTGAAAAGGTGTAGTGACTAGACTTACTTGTTTTAGTTGCGAACTTATGAAAATAATAAAAATAAACGCGCACTAAACTATAAAAACATAACTGCCTCTCAAAAAAGGATTTAAAAATGGAAAAAGCCCAAAAGTATACTTTAACATTTACGTTTTACTATAAATTAACTGCCTGAAAAATGTCATATAGGTTACCTTCGCCTGGGTAAACTTCGTGTTAGAAGTATTAAATGTCATATCAACTGAAAAACCAAGGCAATATTTGTAATAATTTTATTAAATAGGTAAATAAAACAATAAAAAATAAATAATTACATTATTTGTAGACAGAAACACTCCTAGATGCCAAGCTTTTCCTAATCAATGCGTCACTGGCTGAAGGAGGTTATTACACACACGTCTAAATTAAGTGACTGATTCTAATTAAATTAACCTCTGACTAAGTTAAGCTCTCTTAAGTTAAATTAGTCTAAATTAAGACCTCTGAATAAATAAAGTTGCAAAAAAGAATTGGATGAAAAAAAAAATGGAATTAAACATAAAAGAAATCATGCGTCCATCTCCGAACAAGAATACTCCAGTATTGCATCAGTTTTTAATAGCATAACATTTAAATGTTGTTATGCATTATAGTTTATTATAAGAACTTAATAAAATATAAAAAGATCTTTTTTATTAATTTCTAATAATAGTAATAATAAAAAAACAATGTTAAAAATATATTTAAGGCGCGCGTAAAAAATATTAGCCATTTTTATTTAACTAACTATATATTTTTTTTTTGTTAGAAGTCTTAATTAGTGTTTAAATAACAATTAATGAAAGCAATATATTTAAAAATGAAATCATTGAGCGATTTTCAGCAGCCGTGACGCAGTGGGTAGAGTTCGCACTGGCAATTGATTTATTTCATGAGATGAACTTACTGTTGTAATGTCCCAAAAACAAATACTAAAATCTGTCATCTATTTAAATATTCAACATAATAATAGACTGTTGGTCCTAATAATGGATAAAAATATCGATTTCTGTTTAAAAGTTTCTGTTTATATATATATATATATATATATATATATATATATATATATATATATATATATATATATATATATATATATATATATATATATATATATACATTCACAGACACACACACACAAACACACACACACGCATATTCTTTTAAAACATTAGGTTTTTCTCATGAGCATATCACTCTTTAGAATTTCAGAACAAGATGAATATGATGATAAACGAGTAATAAACTTATGTAGAGTTGCTCTCCGAGAAGGATCTAGTTTTGAAACAAGTTTTTTGCATAAATACGTAATCCAAAACACATTTGTAATTGGATTATAGGACTTCCAATCATTCCTAAAGAAATGATACATAAAATAGTTATTAGAATAGACATTTTTATTTATGACAAAATCGATAATAAATTGTATTGACAAGATATACCCGATATGTTCTTTCATTTGTCTGTAAACGTCAAACTGTATGTCACCATCACCTTCAAAAAGTGAAGTATCCTTTCCCAAATCTGTATAAACTACACAGTCATCTAGAAATTCAAATTTTATGTGGTCAAAAATTCAAATTTTATGTGGTCAAAAATTCTAATTGTGGTCAAAAATTCTAGCATATTTATGTTAGAATTTTTGACCATACATAATAAATATCAAAAAGCACCCTAATATAAACAGAAAAAATTTGAAAGCTGTCATGGTCTAGGATGGAATTAGGATTCACATTTCTAATATTTGTCAGAGCAAATATTAGAGATGTGAATCCTAATAAAAAAACAATTTCCAAAAAATTAATTTTATTCAATCAAGATTCTGCACCTTGTCACTCAAAATGACCATTTTTAACTGATTAAAAATCAAATTTATTTATCCTGAAATGTGGACATTCATCAAATAATCCCCCTACGCGTCCGAGGGGTGGCGTAGGGGGATGTCTAGCCCCCCTACGAAATTTATTAGTCGGCAAATTAAACGCTAGAGTCGGCAAAATTGGATTTATAGTTGGCAGTCGGCAAATGTCGGAAAACAAGGAATTTTTTTTTTTTTTAATAGGTAAGTTAGTGGGCAAAATAATTTTTTTTGGCTTTTGTCGGCAAAAAACAGACACGGCAACCCCCTTTAAAATATCTTCGGGACGGCTCTGTTTATACGAAGTTATATGTTAAATCAATTAAAACGAAAAGCAAAAGATAATAATAGACTTAATCGCCATTTAAAAGATATATGGAGGAACATCCCTCAATAGCTTATAAACAAAGCATTAATCTTGTAAACTTACCTACGATCATAAGGGTCATCAAATTAAACATTTAAGAAAAACCAAAATAAGGAATAAAAAAATTGCTTTAAAAATGTTTCTAATTCAATGTGACAAGACTATATAATATATATATATATATATATATATATATATATATATATATATATATATATATATATATATATATATATATATATATATATATATATATATATATATATATATATATTATATATTGAAAGTAGAGATAATCAATTTAACCAAGTGATTATCTAGGAAGTATGAAAGAATGATAAAATGAACTGATTAACTGCTTTGTTTTCAATAAAAAATTTATTTACAGCCGAATGTTATTAAAAACATACTTAACCGTTAGAAGTTCAACTACCAAAAGCGGTCGAAAATAAAAAAATTTATTATACAATTAAAATTTTCCGATTAAATCTTCCGTGAATTAGTATAATTTTTCAGAAATTCTGTAAAATATGCTTGTAATATGTTTTGTATATGAAAGTTGCATTGTTGTTAACCCAATTCTTATCGATAATTTTATTATTTTAATAATTATCATTAATAAATGGAATTTTTATGCCAAAATAGACAGTTCAGTTTAGGTAATTTAAAAATATACTGTATTTAAATCTTTTTTGAGCATAAGAAAAAATATTTAGTATTTTTTATTAAAATATCGTAAAGTTACATAGTTATTTGAACTTATTTAGTTAAACTAAAAAATAACTAGAAATGTTTTATTTCATAACAACTAACTCAAAATATTTTCTTTCATAAATTTTTACAGTTTTAAAGTGGAACACAATTTTTAGAATTAAAAGATTTTACACAATATAAGAACACTGCTTCAAGATGTTTGTTATTAACATGAAAAGTTAGTTGTTTACAAGTCAACCTTCATAATTTAAAGCATGGGGATGCACAAAGACCTGATACATAAAGGGCAAATGGTCTTGAAACACCTTTCTTATATACACAACATCTTGCTTGTGGCTTTTTCCAATTTGCTTTTCCAACTAATGTTTCAGGAAAATATCTTTCTTTAAGTCTTGATGGAACATCAACATTTTCTTTTTCTGTTATAAAATCAACTGAATTGTTACCATCAAATACCAAAGATGCAGTAACATCATGTTGAAACTTTTAAGAGTTTAGTGTTAGGATATTTCTTGTATAAGATGAAACTATTTAACAAGGCAATATGCAGAAAACGAAATGTTAACTTTTTATACTTTTTTTGGTAATTTAATAAGGTTTTAATATTTGATCGTGTTTGTCAACTGATTCCATATTATAGTTGTACTCTACAATACATCTTGGTTTTGTATTTACTGAGAGAGGAGATTTTCCTCTACTTCTATTTACTAGAGATATAGCTATAGCTATATATATAGATATAGCTTCATCATGTTGACTACTAAGCATACAAACAAAGCGAAATGCAGCTGTTTCATTAGTCAGAACATTTGCATTTTTTACAACTAGAGGAACTTGATTTAATCAAATTATTCTACATGCTGTTGTTCCATAGTGGTCCAAAAACTACATGAAGAATACTAATCATTAATCCAAACAGTAAAAACCTTTATTTAGTAGTGGCAACATTAAACATTCTTTATTTAGTAGTGGCAACATTAAACATTCTTTATTTAGTAGTGGCAACATTAAACATACTTTATTTAGTAGTGGCAACATTAAACATTCTTTATTTAGTAGTGGCAACATTAAACATTCTTTATTTAGTAGTGGCAACATTAAACATTCTTTATTTAGTAGTGGCAACATTAAACATTCTTTATTTAGTAGTGGCAACATTAAACATTCTTCAAGTAGTTGAATATCAATAGCATCAGCTGGACTTCTGGTGTAAATTCTGAAGCGATACATGTTTTTTTTTTGTTTTTTTTTTGTTATTCACCTCCTCAAGGCCGAGAAGGCCACTACAGATGATGAGGATACTTAATAGTGGTTATAACCCTCTCTCAACTCTATAACCCCATCTATAGTTTACTGAAATAAGTATTGTTTAATGATAAGAATTGCACACTTCATTTAAGTTGTAACAAATGAATAAACCCCCTGATAATCCTGATAATTTCCTGAATATTCTAGACCTAGATTATAGAGTTATTGGTCAGCTAGCTTTCTTTTTTTATTATTAAAATTCGAAAAACAAAAAGGTTAATCATGAACAACTGGAAATCTACAAATAATTAAAAAAAGCCAATTCTTTCAACTCAAAATTGTTTTTATCAAAAATAAAAATAAAATAAAAATATATTAAGATGATAACTGAATTTGTAGCTTGCTTTTATGCAAAGTGTTTTATAATATCGTTATAGGCTGTGTTTATTGCCATCTTAAAATGGATATTAACAAGTAAAACATTTCAGATCTAGCTATTCTTGTCAAAAGAATGTCATATTTATCTTTACTTCTTATTTTAACTTTTAAGTACATTAGAAAAAAACTTTTATAATACAATATTTAAAATATAGAGATGAACTTTACGGTCAAAACCTCTTTACTTGGGTAATATTTAAAATATTGAGATTAACTTTAGGGTCAAAAATTTTTTCCTAGGGTAATAGAAGATTTAACTTCTCTAACAGAAGTTAAATCTCAATATATTTAAAGTTTTTTTTTTGTAATCATATTTTTTTGTACTTGCCCCATATTTAGCTTCTTGTGAATTCATATTTTCATAATTTAATTTTTTTGAACAACTATATTGATAAAATGTTAGTTAACCTTCTAACTATTGTATTTGAAAAAGATTTATTATTTACCTTCATTAATGTTTCTTCTTAAAACAATAGTCTTAAAAAGCAAATTTTGTTACACAATTAACACAAATGGATGTTCAGTTAACAGACAGATGTTTATTTCTTTTAAAATTTGTTTGTTTTAAAACAGAAAAAAAAAAAAAAAATTAAACAAATTAAAATTCACTTTCTAAAAAAATATTCATAGTTTACTTTTATCTTGTGGTCCACTTAGAAAGTTCCCATGAATTTGGAACCACTGTTCTAGACTGAAAGAAAAAAACTTATATTAAAACCTAGAACACCTCCTTACTATTTTAAAACAATAGATCAACCTATTGCCTAAAGTTCAGCATACAACTCACAATCAGGTGTAGAGATTTAAAAATGGTCTTTGTGTTACCTTATCAACAAAGATATTTACAACAGTTTATACGTTTTATATGAGTAGGGCATCAAGAGATCAAAACAAGCAACAAGTCTGAAAACAAAAAATGGTAAAAAAACCCTGATAAAAAGAATATTTTGCATAATACTTTAATAGAGTTAGAAACGATAATTTACCATCGCTACATCATTTTGACTTTATGAAACAACTTGCAATACCTTTGCCTAAAGATGGGGATTGTTTTTGAAAATTTCCTTATTTATTAGAAGCTAAAAAAAAACTAAATAAGTTGGATATTATTTTAAGTTACTAAGTTTTTCAGTAGGGGCTATAAACCAATATAAAATGAAAACCAATAGATAAATTCAAAACTTTTTTTATTGCAATAAAAATACTCAGTCCTGATCTGCAAAGGTTGGAAAGCCAACAGATTTTAAAAAAAGGGCTCTAACTCATCCTTAATGTCAAAAAAGAAAATGGAATTATTTAAATTTGTTCAAACCATTTCAGTAATCCACAAGCACTTATAACAACTTATAAAATGTTTAGATTTGAAACAGAACTATTAATTCTGTAAAATGTGTTTAAATAATACTTGGATATCTGGGTCATTACCTTCCAATTACTTGAAATGAATGGAGTAACTTAAACAAAAAATAACAAGACTAATATTTCTTTGTATGCATATATTATTTAGTTATGTTAACTTAGTTAACAAACTTATTTTTTCATTAATTTTTAATTAAACACAACATGTGTTTTGGTTGTCATTTAATACCACAGCCTCAGAAGAAAAAAAAAAAATTAATGGTATACCAGCTAACAGCCTAGACAATGTAAAATCTATGATTGAAACATTCAATAAGCCATGGGAATCGTCAATAAGTACATTTCCCCAATGTAAATCTCTATGTTCAAACATAAGTTTTTTTTCAGCAGCAGAAAGAGCTGTAATGATCTATAAAGTAAATAATGTATACATATTTAAACAAACACACACAAGCATAAAAAAGTTAACTATGAAAAAGTAATTAAAAAAAACTTAACATGGAGATTTTAAAGTTAAATAATAAGATTAGGAGGGGTTGCTAGCCAGGAAAATAATGTATAACATTTGATATAATGTATCACTTTATCATGCCATAACATAATTTTAGAGGTGTAAGGGTTATAAAAACGTTTAGCGTTAAAAATCGTATCATTAAACCATAATTGAGAACTTTGATAATGTTATAGTGCATTTTTTTAAACACTATTTACATGCTTTCAAATAATCATTTATACTTTATTTCTTACATCATTGATTGGGTCATTTTATTTGTTGTTTTTTATATTGGATTTTTCGTTATGACCATCACAACAAAAAAAACATTAAAACACTTGTAATACTTCAAGTAAAAACTATAAATCTCAGCATATAATAACATCAATATGTGCTAAATACACACAAGTGATTTTTTTTACCATGCTATTTAATACATTTGTTCAGAAGTGATAAAAAGTAAATGTTTGACTGTCATGCTACGTAGAGTTAATTTTTTATAAAAGTTCAAGACTGTAAATTTTGCATACTAAATTATATAATATGAAGGTATTTCACATTTCTGGAAAGTTTCAAGTCATTTCTGATTTCCGTTCATTTTTAATAGCTTAAAGAGTGTCAAATGTTATGACCACCATTCTCGCGGAAGCGCCCATATATACAAACACATATTTATATGTATCAACTTAAAGCAAAAGTTGTGGAAACAACTTTTTTACATTTTAATATATCATTAAAAACAATTTTTTAAAAAATTTGTTAAATTCCAAAAAAAGCAAGTTCTTTTATCACTAGAGATGACGATCCCGGGATCCCAAAATCCTGGGATTTGGTACAAATTGTTCACCCCGAAATCCCAGGATTAGTCTCACTAAAATCACAGATTAAGGATCACCAAAAAAAGTAAAATTTAATAAAATTTAAGCTTATATTTGCAATTAAGTAATTAGTACATCGTCTTTGGTATAGTAGCTGTTTGGTTGTGTAACTATTTATTCTATTTTCAATGTTTTCCTTTTAAAACTCTCTCTCTATTTTATTAAAAATAAAAACTCAAAACTTTTTGGCTTGTCTACAATATATGTACGATCAAACATATAAAATATAATACTATATTATACTATACTATATATATATATATATATATATATATATATATATATATATATATATATATATATATATATATATATAAATATATATATATATATATATATATATATATATATATATATATATATATATATATATATATATATATATATATTTAATATAATATTAAAACTAGTATAATACAAAAAACAAATAAAATTTAAGAGCTTGCTAACAGAAAGATTTTAATTTCATTAGTAAATCTATTCATTTAAATTCCAAATATGTGCGTGATTCAAATTCCATTTTTATTTCCATTAATTTTAATTTCAAATATGTGAGTGATTGACAAAAGTTTTTTTAACGTAAATTAAATTAATAAAGTTATCAAAAAATAGGTTTATTAAATTAAAAAATTTCTTATCGTTCGTTTAATTAATGAAGTCTTGCATATTTATTTTATTTTTTAATTTTTATTTTTATTTATACTGTGTTACCATTTTAAGGTATTGTTTTATAATTTAAAGTACTTAGGTTCATTAATTTTTAAAAGTCGTAGATAACTTTTAATAAACAAAATTAAGTTAAAACATGTTTTTAACTTAGCTCATTAATCTATTAAATATTTAAGTTATACGATTATTAAAATAATCATTTTTAAGTGTTTGATTAGTACTTTGTCCCCGGAAATATCCTGGTATTTCCCAGGATATTTCCGGGGACAAATTCTCAATCCCGAAATCCCAGGATTGAAAATTTCAGAGATTTTTGCCATTCCTAGTTATCACATAATATGCGATATCAAAATAGCTTCAATTTTTTAGAAAAAGAAAAAATTATTGAGCAATCACGTGGCAGCACTGTCACAGCCTAAAACCATTGATACTGCAACATGTGTACATCAAAATTGTTATGGTTTGGTAAACTTATAATGACATTTATTTAACACTGCACAAAGTTATGTTGACAATGAAATTTTTAATGTGAACTTTGGTCATCAATGTTCATTATTAACAACAACCTTCATATAAATTGTATCACAACGATCCATTGAAATTTAGACAATTTTAAATTGAGTTTTCTCAAAGACAACTTAACCAATTGTAATGATTTTTTTTATATAATGATGCTTACATAATTAATTTTTTCATAATTAATTTTTTTTGGAACAAAATTGACTCTTTTTTTTTTTATACATTTACTTTTTTGGAATAGTGGATCGATGCCAGATATTTGTACTTTTTAATTAGAGGAAGAAGTTGTTTTTCAAGCATTCGCTCACATATAGATCTGGCATCAAAGATTAATTTGTTATGAAAGAAGAGCTTTTAAAACCTTGACTGCAAATTGCTTGCCATTTGCAAAACTTCATCTGCAAATTGCAAGGCAATTTGCAGTTGAGTTTTTAACTCAAAAGTGATTTTCTTATTCAAATGCACTTAAATTTGTCAGAAGCTTTATAACGTTTCCACAGAAGCTTTATAACGTTTCCACAAAGATCACTTGATGGTTTCAGGTAATCAATAATAGTATTGATTACCTGAAACCATCAAGTGATCTTTTGTACAGTATATTTTATTGCCTTCTAAAATGCACACATTTTTTTTTAATTAATTTAAGCAAATTTTTAGCTCATCTAATTGCCTTGATTTCTCCATCAAGCAACCTTTTTGATATTTTTTTTCTTGTAATATTCTTTCAGATTTTCTTTTTTGAATACTCTTTGAGTGAAAGCTTTATTACATTTAAACTTTGTAGCTAAATTTTGTAGTGACTGAGTTAGATTTTGATGAATTGAGTTGACTATTGATTTTGCCTTCTTTTTGGAAATAAATCTTGATTTTCAACCACTTCTCAATTTTATTTTACAGTTTTGTTTTCCTTATAACATTTTATAATAATTTTTACATGCTTTTGAAATCATGGAATATGAGAAGGATGGATTTTCTATGTAAAATTTCAAAAAAAAATTTCGATTTTCTGACTCTTTACTCAAGATTGTAAAAACTAATGAGGAATAAACAAAACTACACCAACTCACAAAAACACTAACTATGTTAGCATCATTATAAAAAAAAATCAATACAATTGATTATGTGGCCTTTTGAGAAAAATTTAAAATCGTCCAAATTTTAACCAATCACAGTGATATGAAGATTGTTGTTAAAATTTTTTTGGTTTCTAAATTTTTTTAAATAATAAAAGATCAAAAGCAGAAAATCTTTAAGAAGTATTTTTTTATAATACCTGACTTTTATTTATTTGATAATATTTATTTGAACATATTTGTATAATATATTGACCAATAAATTTGTGTACCACTGTCACTCCAGGATCTGGTAAATGTATTATTACTATCATTTATATTTTAGAATATAATATAATAAATATAATAATAAATATAAAATATGTTAAACTATATATAGGAATGTTAAACTATATATAGGAACTATATATGTTAAACTATATATAGGAACTATAAAGGAAATGGGGACATAACTACATATGGAGGCACAACCATTTTTTAACATTTCCTTTTGAAAAATGTTATCTAATATGGCAAAAAACATACAACATGTTGGTAAAACAGTTTCTTTTATTTCGCTTTTGTCAAAAAGAGTGCCTGATGCGTTAATGAGAAGTTGTGCATAATAATGTTTATTTTAATAAAAATATTATATTTACATCATATTTTTGACCTTTCTTTTGAGGAGTAAGCAATATTTGATTTTAGTGATAAAGATATGTGTTATCAGCTTTATTTCATCAAGAGAAAACTATTTTTGATATCAACATAACCTAATAAGCAAGCTATGAAACTGTATTGTTTCTAAAAACTATCTTCTGGGGCAAAACTGCATAGATGCACATGTGGTACAATTGCATACTTTAGATATTTATCAAAGTTAGGTAATTACGAATAACAATATACAGAATCGTAACACTTGAATGCGTTTATGTAAAAGCTTGAATAGAAATAGTTTTGTTTTAAGATGTTAGAAATTAGATTTGGTATTTTTTAATTTAATTTTTATAAATGAGTTTTTGATTAAAATATAAAGCTAAGAGTATAAATCGATATCTTGTTATATTTATGTATATCTGATGATTATTATATTATTATATATTGTAGGTATATAATTGTGCATTTCTTAAGAAGGCGCAATTATATACCTACAAGACACCTTGTAGGTATATAAAACTTTTAAGGCACACTTTTCTTTACCAATAAAAGCGTGCCTTTAACAATTTATGTGAGGATGCAGTTGTGCCTCACAATGGGGGCAAAACCATTTTTTTTACTAAGTTTAATTTTTGTGTTTATATATTTTCAAAAACGCTTAAATTTTTTTCATAGTTGCAGCAATTTAAAGCTTAATAATGTGGTTATTGAAATAAACTGTTAAAAAGACACATTTGGTGGACAATTTTTTGGTTGAATTTGTTTTTATGTGAAGTCTGGTAAATCAGGCGAAAAAGCTTTGGTTTTTTCATTAATGCATCAGTCTACTGGAAGAAATATGTTCCTGCAGCTTTGATATTAAAAAAAATAATGAAACATCGAATAGTATTATTTATTTTTTATCAAAAAATTAAATTTATTTCAAAGCAAGTTTTCATATTTGAATTATTATTAAAAAAGCTTTTATCTTGAGAATTAAATTACAAAATAATTATTGAGATTTTTATTTTAATTTTTATTTTTAAAAAAGTAAAAAATATTTTCTTTACTAAAGTTATTACTAAAATTTTAGTAACTCATTAAAAATGTTTAATGCATGATTTTTTAAAGTTTTCTCGTCCTGTTTTCTAAATTTGCAGTTTAAAACTGCATGTGTTGCAAATGAATTTAATGTGTTGCAAATGAATTTAATGAATAGTGTTGAGAAAAAAAAAAAAAGAAATAGTGCCACAAATAAATTTAATGTGATTTAATAAACCAGAACATGTAAGTGATGTATATACAATATGTACATCGACATACTAAATTGGTAGAATATGCAGGGAGTAAACATATCAAATGATCAAAACAAATATAACATGCAAGGAGTGCTACTACATTGACAGTGCTAAAATTGTTTCTCTGCACAGAAGCCTTGTTTATCAAGGTTTGTGTTAGTAAGTTAAAGAGAGTTGTAACCACAATAATAAAAAAAGCCTTCTTGACTGTAGTAGCCCCCTCAGCCTTAGGGAGATAACACAGTTCCATTTATGACAAAATTGGGCCTTTTTAATATATTCGAAACTATTCCAAAGTTCGTTTTTTGACATTATGTCTGTCACCCATCAAGACACCCAATGATTTGGTGACAAAAAATATTTTTCTTCAAGTTATCTAAAGTTGGGTCTCAAAATTTTATTAAGATTATATAAATAAAAATCTATTCCTTAAAGTTAAAAAATGGTTAAAAAACATCCTTTTTAAAACTTTTATTTGAAAATGTTAGTTTTTTTACAAAATTTTTAAAATACTGATTTTCATTTTTAAGCAACAACTTTTTTAAGCTTTTTTATGCTTCTTTTGAGACCCAAATTTTTTTTTTCTTGATATCCATTTTTTTTTTTTTTCTTTCGAGACCCAACTTTTTTTTTTCCTCTTGAGACCCAACTTTTTTTTTTTCTTTTGAGACCCAATTTAATAAAACTTAATATTTTGCAATTTATTAACATTTTGGAAGTAAAATAAAAAAATAAAATTAGAGTTGATAAAAATTAATAATAGAAAATATTATATATGGTACAAATCACCTCTAATTAACATCAAATAAACCTTAATAATGTGTGAATGTGCATTTACCTTAACACTGGATATAAAAGCAAATCACAACAGTATTGTTGCTTGGGAGATTTTAAAAAAAAAAGTATTAAATGCAATGTTCACTGTAAAAGATGCTCCTGTAAGTTTCAATTAGGATTATACAGTTATGAATATTAAAATTACTAAATTAATAACTTTACTATTTGCAACCCTTGGAATTAGGAAAAATTATTTGAAAAAAAATTAGAAACGAGGTCGGCAATTTTTTGCAGACCTGAAACACATTCAGGTCAGCAGTTAGGTTGGCATTGCCGAATACCGACCCTAATTCCAAGGGTTGTATTAGTAAAAACTTTTGAAACAACTTTAAACAGATAATATATGATAAAGTAAATAAAAAAATTATTTATATACAAACAAGCTTTTTGTGAAGCAAACAACCTTTTTTAAAATCAATAGGGATTGCTTAAATGTTGTCACAGAAAAATGTTCAAGATCAACACCACCATAATTTGTTTCCATAATAATATATTTTTGATTATCTCCAAAATCTAAACAAAAAAAAAAATTTAATAATATAATAATAAATATTAATAAATTATGTTTAAAATGATCGTTGGTTGTAAATAGTCAATACATAATATAATAAACACCATCTACTTACTTGGATAGTTGTTTTCTGACATGTGATCTTTATCCCATTTCTCCCACAAATCTTTTAAGATACTTGGGTACCCTCCTTTGCAGTACAAGACTCTTTAAAACATAAAAGATTAAAACATTGCTGAAAATTTGTAAATTTTATATATCAAGAATGAAATAATAAATCGTAATTAAAACAATAACATACTTGTGTACTTTAAGAAACTCTTTGACACCCTAAAATTATATAAATATAGAGAAATGTAACATAAAATAGCCATATTAACAAATATTAACTATAAATAAATATTAAGTTTATTATATATGTTCTGACTTATGCTGCATATGAAGCAGCTAAATAAATTACCTCTTTTTCAAGGTCTGACAATTTTCTAAAAAAAGAAAGTAAATATTTTTAAATATAAGATTAAGTCTATTTAAAATAGATGATTTTAAGTAGACTTTTATTATAAAAATGATTTAAACAACAACAAAAATATACATCAGGATTGGTCGCGAAGCGGGAGCGGTCGCTCTCGATTGCTGACCACAGCAATAATATTTAGTTGCGAAAAGCTGGCCAGATTTTTTAGTCGTTTTGAGAACATTTCAAAAAGCAAAAAAAAAATTGCGCTAAAGATTAATTGGACTGATGAGAGCCAATTACAAAAAAAAAAAAAAAAAAAAAATTAGGAAAAAAAATTATCTTTAAACGCAAAAAAACTTAAAGCAAAATAAATTACGTTTAGAACAAATATTTTCAAAACATCGCTCTTTCATAATTTTTTTTATAAAATTAAGCGACATTTTTTATATTAAGTAACATCTCACGATTGTTTAAAAAAAGAAAACAAATGTTCTTTATTTAACAAAGTTTGCAAGTTTTAGTTTTATTTAAGCTAAATTATTTTATAAATAAAAAAGTTAATTTTTTTATCACCCATTTTGTGTTTCGCGTAGTTTGAAAAGTTTAACATATTTGAAGCAATTCTTCTTAGTAAGATAAACAAATGAAATAATTAAATCATTGAATTACTAAAGAAATTAAACTACCTAGATAGAAATCAACTTGAAAAGGTTAAAAATACTATATGATCAGGAAGCCAAACTGCTTCACAATATTGCTGATGATGTTTAGTGAGTGGGCTTTTTAATTTTAATTAGTATTTAAAACAGAAAAAAAGTTTAATGAGTTTTTAAGAATGGCAACTGAAGCGAAAATAATTAGAGTTAGTAAACCAATATCTAGAAACTTTACTTTATATCTTATAATTTGCTAGATATATTTGTGTTCTGTTGTGACCTTAGACGCGGTGCTTGTTCATCCGCGAGTTCTTTGTATGCGTTGTTTGTGTTTAGTAACCAGAAACTTCTTATATATTTGTTACATAATTAGTTTTATTAAGTTTAATGATTATTATTAACTTCATTGAAAACGCAAATATTTTTGTAAGTCTTTGTTTACAAATTAAATCATAAAAACTGTTTTAAAAGATACATTACGGCAAAAACAGGTACACAAAATTACATTTACATAAAGAATACATACTTTTTTAAGAAAAATAAGAATATACCAACAAAATCTATAATAAACTTTCAAAATTTAGACAATTTAAACAATTTAAAATATTTATTTTTGTAAACAAATAATAATAGTTTATAAGATTTACGGCTTTGCAGATGTGGCTCCGATCTATAGATGTGGCTCTATAGATGTGGCTCCGAGAGCCACACTATAGATGTGGCTCCGAGAATGAGCGATAGTATTGATAATATATTCTTAAAACAATTTATGTTAGAAATCTCAAAATATAACAAATCATGAATAATACAAATTCTAAAACTTTTCAATAGAATACTCTAAAACTTTATTTCGCTTAGTCAGCGTATGTTTTGAACCAATAGAATTAGTTTGTTCGTTAATTTGGCATGTTTTTAGTGTTTGCTAATATTCTTTTTATTCTTCCGCACCAAAATGTTTTAAGAACATTAAAAATTTTTTAAGAAGAATAAAAAGAATAAGTTTTTTACATGGAAACATAAGTTTTTTATGTTTCCATGTAAAAAAATTTTGTTTTGTACATAAACTTAAATGTTCTAAAAAACCAGGCCAGTTTTTCGCAACTAAATATAATTTCTGTGGTCAGTATTCGAGAGCAATCACTCCCGCTTCCCGACCAAGCCTGATATATATATTATTATTGTAAAAAAGATCTTTTTACTTTATTTTTGAAAATTAAAAAAAATTATGTTAGATATTAATAATAAAATGCAATGAAATAAAAAAATATCAAAAAAACTAAAATTAGATTTTGAATTGTTGCTAAAATGTTTTTTTCATAATATAATATATTTCTACTTTATCGTTACTAAATCTTATATAAAATAAAATTGTATGAAACTAAATAAAAACTACATTAAAACTAGCATTCCTAGCTGATTAAATTGGATGCAACAAATTGTAAAATATACAAAACGGTAATTTATATAATTTCTTTCTATTCATAAAATTACTTTATTTCTGAAATGATTTAGTTTACTAATGAAACTTAAAACTTAATTTAAAAAATAAAAACTTTAAAAAAAAAGAAATTTATTTTGAGTAATTGACAAAGTGTGCTTTACTATGATCAGGGTGGCCACTCAAATTGAAAATGTAATTCCATGACTTTTCCATGACATTTCCATGACTCTTCATAAACTTTTATGATAAATCACTTGAGTAAAATATTCAGTACTTGCCATACACTAAGCATTTGCAACTTGGTCATTATAAAACCAAAAACTAATTCGTAGAAAGTTCTGAAATCTGAAAAAAACTCTTTTTCTTTTACTTCTCTAATAATTTACACTGCAAAAAAATATTTTTCAAAAAAGGACTTAGTACTTTTCTTTTTATCCTTAAAATATCACAAATAGAAAAAATAAAGATCATTTTAAAAAGTTCCATAAATTTTTCATGACTTTCAATAAAAATTTAAGAATTCCATGACTTTTTCCATGACCAAATAAAATTCCATGACATTTCCATGATTTCCATGACCAGTGGCCACCCTGATGATAAAATGACAAAAGAATATTCTACATGGAGAAGAAATAAAAGTAAAGAGTTAAGCTGCACTAAGAAAAATTAAAATTAAGTAAAGAGTTGCCGCAGTTAAAAACACAAAAGCATTAGGCAATTAGATTTATTTAGTTGATAGCATTTGTTTTAAAAAGAAAAAAAACAACATTAAATTGAGCAAATTAAATGGGTTTTTTCCAAAGCCTGTTGCAATGAGTGGTACACCAACACTAAAGTTTAATGTCAATTGTAATTACTTTATCAACTCCAACAACTTAATTAGAAAGTTAATACTTATCATGTTTCGTCATCAACCAAACACATAATACTTTCCTCTTTTTTGAAGAACTGAGGCTAACTTTTGCCAAAATACTCTAGCAAGAATGATACAACCATTCAATCTCTTTGAGGTATACTTAGTAACTGCTTCTAGAATTTTTTTTAACTAGCTATTATTAACTTCTTAAAATGTTTTGTTTAGAAAAAAACTTCAGATAAAACTTTTTTTCAAGCAATCTGTCGTTTTGATTACTTAAAACGTTTTGTTTAGAAAGAGACTTCAGATAAAACTTTTTTTTCTAAAACGCAACGAATAAAAATCAAATTCATCCAATCAAAATTTGAATAGCATATATTTAAAAAAAGTTGCATAAATTTATATGCAAAGAAACTTTTGCCAAGACTATTATTTTTTATATCTTTATATTTTTAAAATAAAAATACAAGGTCAACCATAAAAATTTAGCAAAAACTGAACTGTTTTTTGAATTTTTCTCAAAAAATTAATTAAGAATAACTGGTTAAACAAGAAATATAGAATTTTGGACACCCCCCCCCCCTACATAAGCAAAACAAATACAGAAAGCGTAATGTCTAAAGTGTTATGCAAAAAATGTTAGGCTTTGAACTTGATTATCCATCTAATGATTTCAGTGTTTAATTTTAACTTTTTTTATTTCAACCAATCATATTTAAAAACAAATATTTTAAGTATTGATACATTGCAATCACAATAGTATATATTACATCCAGAAGCAATCATCATAAACAAAAATATATATTAATCTACAAACAATCATCATCATAAACAAAAAAAATATTTAAAATAGAATTAATTTGATATATTTTGAGAAAATTATTATACTTACCTCTTCATTGTAAAAGTAACCACTATATTTGATAAAAACACATACTTCCTTAGTCATACTTTTTTTAAATTTAATATTCTTTATGTGGTAAATAAAGGAGTTTAAACTCTATACCTTTCACTTACAAAATAAGCACTATTTATGCTATATATTTATATCACTAATAACACACTACCCCATAAATAATCTCCTGAGTAGTTTATAAAAATGTTGAAGAATTTAACAGTCTGCATTTATGAGATTTGTTGGCAGTTTCATATGTTAACAACAATGAGTGAAAATGTAGATTCTTCACAGTTTTATGGTTTTGCAGTTTAAGATAAAGATTATGAGTAAATAAATTGATGTTTCCGGCAGTTATAAGTAAAACACGCTCAAGTAGAGCCTATTCTATCTCTTATTTGGTACAATATAATTATAGATTGCTTTTATATATGTTTGTGGATAACAAGCTTTTATATATTATACAAAATATTAATGCTATTAATCTGATAATAAAAGTTTGTTTTCTTGAAAAAATATCTTTAGAAAACTTTTAAAATATTTTTAAAAATGCTTTTTGTTGGGCACAAAATTTTGGTTTGCTTTTTTTTTTTTAGGAAAAAAGGAAAATTTAAATCGATATGAAAAATAAAGAAATAAATATATTAATTTATATATTATATACGTATTTTTTTATTTGAACTCACCTCCCCAAAGCCATTAAGGTCAGTACAGTCGAGAATTATACTTTTTAGTTGTAGTTACAACCCTCTCTCAACTCTATAACTCTGAAACACAAACTTTGACAAACAAGGCCACTGCGTGGAGAAACAAGTTGATATATATATATATATATATATATATATATATATATATATATATATGATATATATATTTTTATTGCATTCTTCTATGGAAAAACCAGGACAAAGACGACTCAAATTATATAGGATTTTCAGCTCATTAACCTCCAACTGGGGTAGAGTACCAGCAAGCCTTCCCAGGAGACACATGCAGTTATTTGTCTTGTATGTTCACGCATAAGTTTTTTATTTCAGAAAACTTGGTAATTACTGTTCACAAGTTTTATTATATTATATTAGGCGTTTCAATACTGTGTTTTGTTTTAAATGCGTATTAAATTGTTATTGTAAAAAGGTCTATAAAATGACAATAAAACAACACTAGTTGTTTTGTCAGTATAAAAAGTTTGTGCGAATATAATTAAAGAAAATACATTAAAGAAAAAACTTGCTTATACAATTTATAAACTTAACCAAAATAGAAGAACCTACAATCTAAAGGAGTAAATTTAAATTCTCTTGTTTTCTCCACCCTAATCTTATAGTGAAACGATCCTCGAATGTTACGCATATCAAACAAATCTTTGATTGTAATCGGAGTAAATGTCCTTGGTTCATCAGATGGTGTGAAGATTGATCCGTTGTTCTAGAAAGTTATGGAGAAAGTCATTTAGCGTTGTAGGTGGTAAGCTATGGGTGGTTCATCAGTTCAGTGTCTCTATAGGTATATGTACACCCATAATTAGGTGAGTAGAGAGACAGCCTGCTACTTAGGAATTTAAAAATAACAAGCTTTATTATAACCCATAATAATGTGTGTATAAAAGTAATCTGTGTTACATCATTAAATATATATGTTATGAAATGTGTGTTAAAAAATGTATAGTTGTAATAAAATGAATCGATGCATTCAAAAATTATAAATTGTGTAATAAATTAAATTTATATATCAGACACATCCTCGCATCGAACACGGAACCTTTAACACCGCAGGCTGCGCATAATCCACTAAGCTACAAGAACTTGTACAATACGGACAAAATAACATATATAAACTAAAATAAAACAAGTATAAAAAAAAAAATTATTATAAGAAAAAAATATAATATTAAAATAAAATCTAAATTACATCTATACATATATACATACATCGACTGATTCAATTAGGGATAGGCGCAGTGGAGCTCACTTGCAAGTGCAAAGGGTTTTTGGTATATAACATTTTGATTGTGTTTTATCTCATTATGTTTTATTGATATTTATTGAAACAGTGAACAACATTAAAAACATAAAATGTGTTTTACTGTCAGTGTGAACAGAGTATAAGTTTCAAAAACAAATAAAGCAAAACTAAAAAATAGGAAATTTAAATAGAAAAAAAATTAATAATTCAAGTAACTTGTGTACTGTTTTTATTTTTGTTTCTTTACTTTGGTTATTTTCAGCAACAAAATTGAATTAAGCAAAGCAAAAAATAACAAAAAAAAAAAAACATTTTTAAGTTGAAATTAAAAAGAATAATTATCCTATATTATTATAACTTTTTTAAAGAGGAAAGCAAAAATATAAATTGCTATCAGCTTGTAAAATATATTTTTATAATTGTAACAAGTATATATTGTCCATATATGAATATGTCTTTGTAATGCATGCGTTTATGTTTATATACACTCAGATGTTGGTTTGTTCAGGTATGCGTAGATGCATATGTACCTCATAGACTTTACTTTTACATCACTTTTTTAATTATATAATTATATTTATTTGTTCATTAGTAAATGAACATTATTTATGAATAATGAAGCTTATTTGGATACAACGTTTACTTCACTCATGGAATGTCTGTGGCTTGAATTCTATATAAAAAATTAATAGTAAAATTATTAATAATAAATCTTTGCATGAAATTTGTGCTTTTGTACTGCACAAATGTCCAACACCTTTTAAGAGTTTTTAGTTAATTCTTACTCTAATATAATCTTTTCTTTCTCCCTGAGGCTCCTACGGCTGTATGTGTTCCACTAAAGTAACTGGTTTTCAAGTCCGGTTGCAAATGATAAATGTTAATTTAACAAGTATATTAGCTCATCCCATTTTGGCCCTCATGAACAAACTTTAATATGTGGAGTGTCGTAAAATATTCCCAAGGTATTGTTTTCTTAATAAAACTTTTTTATTTTTTATTTTAGATGACTATTTCTACTAGCACCACTCTTTTAAAGTTTAACATTTTTAAATTTTTTAAGTTTTTACGTGCATTTTAAAGCAATCGGCGCTAATAGAAATTTAAAAATCATTAACTATATAATAACGGCATTACAAGTAATTGAAGGTTTTTTATCTATAGCTATAATTGTGCACATTTTTACTACTATAATTTTTGTTAACTGGTGGCATTTTAAAAACGCATCAATTTGTTATAAAATTTAAAAAACGTGGTTTTTAAACACGTTAGCGTTGAGGCCCAATACACAACAATTAGAACTTTGTTAGATGCTTTTTATCTCATAAAGTTCACCCTTTTCAAGCCCTAGCTATTTAAAAGGAGTTTGTACAAGATTAGCTACATTTCCTGATCAACCATCATTATTGTTAACCTCCTGCCATCATGTCAGAAAGCTCCATATAGCCGTAGCCGTAAATAAAACTGATAAACTGGGGAATAAACTATTTATATCATAAAACCATAAAAGTTAAAAAACAAAAAGGTAAAGATAAAACATTAAAATATTATTTTGCAAAAACAAAACAAATAAGTTTCTAATTTTAAAATTATTTACATATAGACTTTTGAGAAATGCAGAGATTACTGTGAACTTGTGGAAAAAAATTAGACCATTTGGTGAAAATTAACAAATATGGAGCAGTTTCACACGCTTTGAATTTTATGAAATTCAAGTTGCATTTTTCTAAAATCAGGAAGGTTTTTATTCTGAATAATAAAATACTCAAAGAGAATAATAAAATGGCTGACTAAATTTCTATTTCTGGGGAACTGCAGTTTTTGACCTGCATATTTTTTGATTCTGCATTTTTTAAAATAAAACTTAATTTCATAAATTTTGATATTTTAGTCTTATTATTTAAGAGTAATTTATGTCATAAATTACTCTTAAATAATAATTGTATAAAAACTATGGTTTGCAAAATGGTTTAAAATAAGATGTAAAATACAAAAAAATAACTCTAAACCAATTTTTTTTTCTAACGACAGACTTTTCTTAAAATAAGTAGAAATGTAATAAAAATGAAATCATTAGAAATAGCACTTTGATTTTATCTTGTCAAAAAAAAATGTAATAAGTATTTAGCAATGTCATTTTAAATTTTATTTTATCTACATTGTATTATTTTTAACTTAAACTTTTAAGATCAACAAGACTATTGGCAAATGTATATTGAGCCTGCTGCAGAGGTGAAATTTAAATCATGGCAAGAAATAAATTTCTTGTTTTTAAAAATAAATTGCAGAGTAGGATATTCATTTCTTAAAACAAGAAATGTATTTCTTGTTTTAAGAAAAATATTTTGTAATAAAAAATTGCTTACAGTAAAACTTTAGACAATGAAGAGAACCATTAAAAAAAGAATACGAGTGGATTCAAGGAGCTAGCTACGGCGATAACTTTCTAGTTATTGAATGGTTCTAATAAATTGATTTTGATCATAAATTATTTTTTTACATATTTTCTTCAGATATTTGTCTTTTTGAAAATTTATATGTATATAAATATTTATTGCACATTTGCAGCGTTTAAATGCTGAATTCTGAAGCAAATTTGCATCAGAAACAAGAGATCTGTGGCAGTGAGGGATCCAGCATTTTTTGGTGTTTAAGATAACATGGAGCGAAATCCAAACATTTTAATGTTTATACTTAAGTCAAATAATGATGCGTTTTAAAAAGTTTCAATGATTGGAGGCTGGAAACAAAAAACCCCTAAAATTTTATCCCCCGTGCCCCAAACATGAAAGCAACAAGTTGATGAAATAAATTTTTTGCTTTTCTTAACTAAATTTATATTCGTCGATAAATTTTAAGCATTGTTTTACAATCTCTAAGCGTTCAAAAATTATGACTAAACAAAATTTGTTACCCCCTCAAGTTGAGAGGGGTTTAAACTTTATTTGGTTATAATTTATGAACTCTGAGAGATATTACTATGAAACTTGAAATTTATCAATGAATATAGAAAAAGTTAGGAATTTCAAAAAAATTATTTTACCAACTTGTTGTTCTCACATTTGGAGCACACAATTTTAGGGCTTTTTTTAGTTTCCAGCCTCCAGTCAAAGCAATAATTTGCAAAGCACATTATTTGACATATATTATTTAATAACAAAATGAGGCAAAAATCATAAAGTTTGTTGTATGACAGCAAAAAAGCCTAAAGATCAACAAAAAATCACTTTACAGTAGCCAAAGAATTAATTTATCTACAGTTATCAGCGTAAAATTTTTTTGGTACAGGAACACATAAAGAAAACATTGTTGAACAAATTAACTGGATTTGACATCAGAATCTATTCGCGCCAATGCTTGGAAATTGCCCTAAATTTAGTCAAAAATCTTAAAAAGCGTAACTTCGAACAACCAATCAAGAAAAACTAAAAAATATAAAAAATTTTCATATAAATATGACCTGTACGCCACTCATTAGCCACTCCGCATAAAAATTGGTTGTCTAAAAAAAATTATGAGATGGGCTAAAGTATATTTATTGTAAAAGAATACTAAATTTAATAATAACCTAAAAAAACAAAAACAAAAACAGTCATTATATAAAATAATTTTTAAAGTTTAAATTTGTTTCCGTTTTTTGTTAGTTTTGCTTTCTTTGTTTTTAAAACTTAGTTTTTTCCGCAAAGTATTTAAATAAAAAAATTATGTGTGAACATACGAAACAAAAAACCGCACACACCTTCTGGAAAGGCTTGACTAGGGTACAGCAAAAATTACTTAAAACATTTTAAATTAAATTAACATGTGAAAAAAACTTTATAAAGGGTAATAGTTCAAAAAAAATGAACTAAAGTAAATTTTAAAACAACTGAAAACTAAAAGAAATGAAGCTGAAACAAAAAATTATTTAATAACTTGTTTTTAATAATATATAATATATAAGTTTTATATAAAAATAATATAAATAAAATATAACAAACATAAAAAAAAAGCAATAAAACTATTTTATGAAAACTTTAAGAACCTATAATTACTTTGATATTTCTATTTCTGGCAAAACATCTGCTAACGATATTTGGGAAAAATCTTTGTTCCCAAAGGGAATTACCTACAACAACAACAACGAAAAGTAATAATAATTTTTAAAACTAAAAATCATTTATAAAAAGTATATTAATATAACATATTGATTTACAAAGTTAAAAAATCAATGCTAGAAACTTTGATTTGTTTGTGGAGAAACTTTTTTCAAATGAGTTACAATATAACTTAAATTTTAAGTTAAAACAGACTGGAATCAAATAAGTATCTGCTCTAATACTTATCACCAAAAGCAAATAATACTTATCACCTAAAGCAAATAATACTTATCACCAAAAGTTTGTTTTTAAAATTTTTATATAATTTTTTTATGACATAAGATGATACACTTTTAAGACAGAATATGATATACTCAATATGAAGATCCTTTTTTTTTTATAATGATCCCTAAAGATATTTTTTCATCAAAAACTTTTTAAGTATTATTTTATTAAATAGAGCTTATTTATTTGAGAGCAGACATTTTCAAAAAATGTTGTTTAAAGAGCCACCATAATATGTGTTTTAGGTAATTTTATGGTCATTTTAGGATGGCGTGCACAATTTAAATAAAAGATTAAAAAAAATTGCTTTAATCTTAAAGTGTTCTTTAATTCAATGTTCTTAAAGTGATGCCTAAGTGCTAAGAAAAGTTTGTGTTCATATCATAAATAATCTTTAAAAAATAAGTTTCATGTTAATAAAACTTTCCACAACAAATTATTTAACGAGATAAGGAAAAAATAACATAACTTTTAACTTTAATGCAAGGTAAGTTCTGACTCTTCGATTTTTTTTTTTAATAAAGTGGGCCATAAGTTCAAACCAGACCGCCAAGTTCAAACTCTCACAACATCTAGCTTTTTTTTTTTTTTTTTTTTTTTTTTTTTTTAAGTAAATATGATTTATATAAGCGATTTTTAGATGCAAATCTATAAAAATCTGAAGTTGATCAGAAGAGTTTAAACTTTTAACAAGTATAAAAGCCTAAAAATTGAGTCTTAAAATCCGTCATTTTTTTAAAGCATTTTGAAATAATAAGGATAAATTATTAATGAAAAAGACATGGAACGGTAAATATAGCTGAATTAAAAAAAATCTGTTAATGCAGTTTGTTTGGAAAAAAAAAAAACATTCAAAATTATTATCAAAAGTACATACGTCTACAGCAAATAAAATAGAAGTGAAATGAATTTATTCATTATACTTCTATTGCTTGAATGTAATTTGTTCAAATTGTAGAAGAAACATTTTGCTGGAGAAAGGATAAAACATTAAATTATGTTATATTTGGGTTTTTACTTTTGCAATAAATTTTTATGAAGTAGAAGGTCTTTATATATATAACATTTATAAAACTTACATATATAACCTTTAAAACCGAATAAAAGTAATATGATAAATAAGTAAAAAAAAAAGTGAAATGTGTAACTTATATTTATTTTGTTTTAAAAACAAAAATAATATTAGTGCTATAAATAAATGCAAATTTAAAATAATTCTGATATTTGCTAATAAAATTTTAAAACCGAAATTGCTATTCTATTTATTGGATTTAGTAAGAAATAGTGCAGATAAATTTAATTTCCTGGTAAATGAAAACAAAATATACTAATGGAAATAAAAATAAAATAAAGTAGAAAAGCAGTACTCCTCGCTTAATCATAATTTTTATTTTGTGAAGTCTCCAGTTGAATGTTTTATGAAGCGCAAAGATTTTTTTATAAGGGAAAAACTAATCTAATTGTGTGAATCATTTAACTCTGCAGTAAAATATTATTTAAACCAGATAATTTTACATTGAAAAAAACTATGAAGATTCATTAAGATAATATTAAACTCTAAACCGGAAGTATAATAGCAAAACAACATGATTATCATATAGTGTATAGAATTCAAAACCCTTCAAAAATGGATTAGGCGAAATATATATACATATATATATATATATATATATACACATATATATATATACATATATATATATATATATATATATATATATATATATATATATATTTTAATTTATTCATGTATATATATATATGTATAATATATAATATATATATATATATATATATATATGTATAATATATAATATATCTGTGTGTATAAGTATGTATGTATTATTTATAATATTTTAACTAACATTGCTACTATTATGGTGGTCCACTCTAGATATTACAATACAATTTTTTTTAATATCACATATGGACCACTCTATCAATGAGCTTAAAGTTCATTTATAGGCCTTTTTTTAGGCAAAATTTTTTAGGACCAAATTTGAAATATTAAATTTTTTGGGGCAATTTTAAGCAAAACTAGATATGGTTGTCCCTTTTTAATGTGAACAGTAAAGGTTGTCTTTCTTTAATAACTTACATTTAACAATATTATTATATCTATATTTTCAGTAAATATCTATATCTATTATATATTTATATTTTAAGTAAATAAAAATATTATAAAAAAATATCTCCAAAAAAAAACCCAAAACATACTGGAAACAGATCAGAAATACTTATTGTGAAAAAAAAAGACTCACCCATGCAATTCAAAATGTTCTGCAGGATTACATACATCTAAGAAAATCAAAACGCCAGGGAAATTGATTTAGTCAGGTGCCAATTTTTTATGAATTATTTAGAGCTCTAGTGGCCTGCAGAGAATACCTACTGCTGTGTGGCTTTAATTGGTTGTGCAATCAAATATAGCTGAATTTCCTCTACTCACAACAGACAATATAAGATAAACTTTTCAAATTCTTTGTTAACTTATAGACAAATAAGAGTTTTTGAGCATTAAGGAATAGCATCAAAAAAAGGATGAGACTTAATTAAGTAACGAGTAACACGCAAATGAATTTTAGTAGATGGCACAAGAGATGCTCTTAAGAACATGAAGTTTTTTTAGAAAAGAGAAATAGAAGCAACATTACGAGGATGTGATAATGGTTAAAGGTTGGCAGATCTAACTATGTTTACTATGCCTTTTTCCACCCTGTCTAAAAGTCAAAGGGCATCATTGGATAATCCATACCAGAGTTGGCAATAGTATTCCATACAAAGACGGATTTGAGATTTATAGAGATAAAGAATAGAATCCGGAGTATGAAAGTATCGAGCACAATAAAGAGATAAATCAAACCATATATCAAATCCTTTGCAAAATTAGCAGATGCTATTTTGCAATGTATTTGATATATGGTTTCAAAGAAATATTGGAAGTAATAGTTAATCCTAAAAGAAGAAGGATAGATAAATTATAGAGTACATTATCATTCATAAATATAAGGAGATCTAAATTTTTGCGGTAAGGATTGGCTGAAAAAAATTGGGTTTTATCTAAATTAAAGTTCATCAGCCACTGTGAGCCCTATGCTGTAGCAGAAATGAGATCCTTTTCAAGGTCAATACCCCCTCCAAGCAATCAGAGAGTCTTTTTATATTTTTTCTTTTTAGATCAAGACAAGAATAAATGGTAGTATCATCAGCGAACAATGCCACTTTAGATGTGAGAACAGGGCTCGAATTAAGCGTATCGCGATCGCGATTGCTTTTTACACCTTCGCGATTAGTTTTTTCTTAAAACATATATTTTCACGATTGGTTTACTTTTATAGTTGTTTATTTGCTATTTTTTAATTTATCTTTTTTTTGGCATTTCTTAAAAGTAATGTTTTCATAGTAAAGTACGTCACGCAAAGTTTGTCTTTTGAATAGAAGCATGATCATTTGCTTTTGAATGCGGAGATTTTTATTCAACGTAAAGTTTTAAATTTAAACTTTAAATCTCTGAGTAGAAGCAAATTAAAAGGTCAAAAGTTAAAAATTTTTTCTTCATTTCTTTAACTTTTTCATTTCTTTAACTTCATTTCTTTTTTTAAATGAAACGTTGCTCCAAATTAATTAACTTAATAACAATGATTTAATTTATTATTTTATAAACAATTTTATATAAATATTTTTACTACTTTAAGTATAATAAAATATATATAAATTCGTTTTTATTAAATAAAATTTCTATTAATAAAACTGTACTAATAGAAACCAGTAACTTTTTTGCTTTCACGTTTTTCGCTTTAACGACCTTGAAACTATTTTTTATATTTTCATTTTATTTATAGCGACATTTAAACTAAACATTTTCTATAAATACGCAATTGTTTTCAAGAGTTTTATTTAAAAAGAAATCAATTTAATAAGAGAACTTTAGCCTTAAAATTCACTTATTTGAATAATTTTGTGATAGAAATTTAAAATTTAAAAAAAATTTTAAAATTTAAAAAAAGGTTGATGAAACAAGGGAGAAAAGAAGAAAGTTTTTTTTCCTAAAATCGTTAATTTTTTTAACGTTTTGAATTATATATTTTTTCTTGAAAATAGTTTTAAAAGTAGAAACATTCTATTGCATCAAAGCAGTGATTGCAAATTGCAAGTTAAAATAAAAATTATAAAAAATTTAAATTTAATTTAATAAATTATTTTACTTCTGTTCGAAAAATTTTTTTTAAAAAAAATAATTTAAGCATATTCTTATACTTGATATAATTTGATTTATTAAACAAAATTTTTTGTTTTACTTTTTTTTGGAAAACAATTAGAATAAAAAAATATTGAATGAAAACATCAGTTGAATAAAAAACTTAATTATACTTAAATTTTTAATGGTACGCTTGATCAGGAAACGATAATTTATAAAAGACGTGGTATCTAATGCTTTTATGCTTTGATCTTACTTGTTTGTTCCATATATTATAAACTTGTATAGGTCTATAGGCACAAATGTGAAGTTTTGTTTTAGTTTATTAACTAGATCAATTTTATTTATTTGCTTCCTTTTATTTTAAACGCGTTTTATTTTATAAATTGTATAAATCAACACGAAATAGCGTCACGAATTTGTTTTACATTAACCCAAGTTTTTAAAACAACTTTGCAGTTTCTTTTAATGCTGTTTTATAGCTTTTAACAATTAAATACTTTTTTAAAACTAACACGTGTTTTGACGTCAGCACGAACGTATTAAATAGTTTTCTTTGACTAATTAAAGTGGTTTAGATATTGCAATGTTGCTTTTTCTCTTACTTTTTTACTTTTGTTTTTTTAAATATCATTTTAAGTAAAATATATACTGAAAGAAATATCTTAATAGTATTAAATAAGTTATTGCTTATTACAAGTGCAACTTAAACTTTAAGTTATAACTTAAGTTGTAAATAATATCAGTAACTTACGCTATTTTAAACTCTGCCGAACAAGAAAATTATAAGATTATATTTAAATATAGAGATAATGTATTAAAAGTAGAACAATTATGTACAAAAGTTACAATTATATACTAACGCAACTCCCCCCCCCCTCATTACCGCAAAGAAGCGCAAGGTATAAGGATGATGGGGGGGGGGGTGGATGTGAAAAAATTTTTTTTTCGCGATTAGATTTTTTTGCGTTAATTCGAGTCCTGGAGAATATCTTGAAGATCGTTATTGTTAAATTAAAAAGAGTATAGGGCCAAGGATAGAACCTTAAGGAACTCCTGAAGTTACAGGATATGAAGAAGAGTGCTGTCCATCGAAGATAAATTTTATAGAAAGATTTGAAAGGAAGGATTCAATAATTTTAAAGATGTTACCTGGTACACTATAAGAAGAAAGCTTTTGAAGAAAAACCAGTATGCCAAACTTTATCAAAAGCATTAGAAATGTCAAGAGCAATAGCCTTAGCCTCTCCACCTTTGTCTAATACATCATAAAACCTATCGGTTATTATTGTTAGCAAATCAACTGTAGAACAAGAAGATTGAAATCCAAACTAATGATCAGAAATTAAGTTATTAGATTCAAGATGAGAGATTGTTTGTTAATGAAAGACTCAAAAACATTGCTTATGATAGGAAGAAGACTATTGGGACAGCAGTTAAACAAATAAGATTGCTCTCCAAAATATTTGAAAATAGAGATAACAGATGCCACTTTTGAGCATGGAAAATTAGACTCTGATAAGCACTTGTTAAGTAGTTTCGAAAGTATAGACAACAGCTCCAGAGAACAGTTCTGCAAGACTACATATGTTGTAAGTATGTTTGCCGGACCAAAAGCTGTAGAAGAGTCTAAGCAGGAAATCACTTTAGATAAAGAATCTGGAGTGATACAAATGTCAAGCAATGGATCAACCTTTTTGTTGGCTATATTAGGTAAAACACAACAAGGGGAATCAAGAGATGATATCGATGAAAAGTTCTTAGCAAACAATTCAGCTTTGTCTTTAGGTGAAGTGACAAAATCAGAACAATACAAAAGAGGTGTTATAACAGATTTGCCTTTTTTATTGATAACCTTAAAGATTCTCCAGAAGTCATGAGAGCCTAGTTTTAGAGATGAAATCATGATCTGAAAATAGCGGATTTTAGCATTAGATAAAAACCTTTTTACAATGGTTTCTAGCAATAGTAAACAGACATTTGTTTTCTGTTAGATATGTTAGATACTGTTTTGCTGGTAGATATGGAAATATGGAAGTAATGGTTACGATTGGAAAATTAAGCTGCACTAAGTGTAGAAAACCATGGAAAAAAATTTGGCGGAATATAAGACGGAATATAAGATTCCATACTAGCCTGAATCCAAGAAGTTTAATAAAAAGCACATTTGCCGACAGGAAGACGAAAGTTTTCTACCCAAGGGCCATCACAAAAAAAATCACGGAAAAAGCCCCAGTCGTCTTTAAGCTAGTTTTGAGAGGCATGATGATAGAAAGATTTTGATGATAAAGAAAAATGAGATAATAGTTTTAGAGAGATCAAACCATGATCAGAAACACCTAAGGATGAATGTGGTGAAACTGAGCACTGACTAGGATCAGAAACAAGTCAAATAGAAAAGGTTTGAATTGTCTGGAAAATAAG